AAGAGCAGCAGGTACTGCTGCACCCTCCTGCTGTGTCCCACTGGCATCCTGTCCTCCAGGGCAGCCTCCTGCTGTGCCAGCAGCTCCTTCCCATCCCAGAGGGGACGATGCTTTTATAGCCCGGGATTCTCCTCCCCTGGCTGGGGGAGGGCTGGGAATCCCACGGGCAGGTGGCTGTGACCCTCCCTGCCGAGGGTGGCACATCCAGGAGCCCCCCCGTGCCCGGTGGGAAGAGCTGGCAAGGGGGGCTGTGCAGAGCCGGGAGCGCTGAACCCACATTCCTTGGGGTTATTTGCTCCCTGTCAGCAGTACCAGGGCATGTGCAGGGCACAGAGACCTGCTGGTGCCAGCTGGCAGAGCTGCTGGGGGGTGCTGGTGGTGACACAGGTCTGGCCAGGGAGATGTCCCACTCTGCAGAGGAATAATGGGGTTTTTCCCAAAGGCCTGGGGGTGGGAATGGCAAAGGACACTCAACCACAGCCTCTTTGGCCATGGAGACACCAACTGCAGACCCACAGCCCCCTGTGCCCTTCCAGGGGCTGCTCTGAGCACAACCAGGGGAACCCTCCCGGCTCCATTAAACCAGTGAGGGAGCAGAGCCCCGGGCGGAGAACAGCACAACTCATTGCACTTGTTACATATGATACTAAACCAAGGGGCAAACCCAGCCCTGCCCTGTGGTTTGGAAGGGAGATGCTGCTCTAAACCCCTCAGTGTGGGGACTCCTTCATACCCTGGCCCCCAGGTCGATGTGTCTCCCCCCTGGCAGTGCCCAGTCCAGGGCAGTGGGTGCTGGATCAGCCCCGTGGCTCCCAGCCCAGGGCTTGACCTCGGGGAATCTCGGTGGGAAATGACTGCCAAGGCAATAAAAAACATTCTTGGAAGAACCCTAACCACACACCACACACTTGCCCCTGCCCCGAGACCCCCAGCTACACAATCCCCCTCCTGTGGAGGATGGGATTTGTTTAGGGCACCACTGTCACCCTTGTCCAGGTGCTGGAGGGGGCAGTGAGGAGAACAACCCAAACAGCTTCCCCCCAAAACCGGGGCTTAAACACCTCCCTGCCCTGTGGGACTGTGGCTGCCAGGGGAATGCTGACCCTGGCAGGCCCCGAGGGCTCAGCCCCGCGGGTCCCACCCCGCTCCCCCAGCCCTGACGTCTGTTCCCACGCCGGCCCCCAGCCCTGCGTCAGCGGGGCAGCCTCGTGCCCCGGCACAGGTTGCAGGGGGGTGCAGAGGTCAGGAGGCAACAGCCCAGCCCGGGAGCCACAGCGACGTGAGAGAGCCTGGCAGGGAGCCAGCAGACATAAATCCCCTTCCCGGGCATCCCACGGGCTCTGCCAAGCCCCGTTCCCCGAAGGAGAGGCCGGGGATGCGGCGGGACTTCAAAGGGAAGGGGCCACGTCAGCAGGGAAGGTGGGCCCAGGATGTGGGGCCGTGGGGCTCTGGTGCTTCCAGCCCCCCTCTGACCCAGGGCCACGTTTTCAGGAGCCCTGAGGGGTGTTGGATGCTCTGGGCACAGCTTTGGCCCAGGAGGGACAGATGAACCCCTATCCCGTGGGACATCCAGAGCAGGGTACAGCTGGGAAGGGAAGAGACCCCTGGGCAGGGGGAATGGCACCACCACCCCCTTGGAAGGGAAACCAAGAGAAAACAGGCAGAACCAACTTACCCAAAGCCATCAGAGGGCTGAGGGCTGTTGCCTTGCACGGCCTGGGGTTGGCTGTCCTTGCTCCCAGTGCCAGGGCTCAGGGATGTTCCCAGCACAGGACACATTCCCCGTGCAAGGAGAACCCCACAAGGCATTTTCCAGTCACCTCTGCCAGCACTGAGCAAGGATGAGCAGCTGGTGCACGGGAGCAGCGATGGAAAGACCTGATGAGAGGCTTTAAATAACCTACAAAGGTGCTTTTGTGCCCAGGGTTAGAGGAACAGGGGCATGGGAAGGACAGACAGGGATGGATACAGGGCATCAGCCAGCTCTGGGACCATGCTGGTTTTATTCCCAGCCCCTCAGGTGACCCAGAGCTGCAGGGAAGATGCTCAGCTCTTCCCACACAGCCTCAAAACATCACTTAACCTGAATTTGCAGTGACAGAAAGTGCCAGGGCATCAGGGAAGGCTGCAATCACCCCACCTGATCCATGTGCTGCTGTGGGAAACCTGCTGCAGTTTGCTCCAAAAGCCTGGGATTTTATCTAATTGCAGATCCAATAAAGAGCAGCTCATCTGGAAATAGCAGGGGAATGCTCTTCAGTCATTTCCCTGTCTGCTTTCAAGGAGTCAAGTGATTGAGAGAATTGAAGGAAAATGCTTTCCAGAGAGAAACAATCGCTTTCCTGCCGGATAAATTTGTTCCTCTCTCATGCTGGGCTGAGCAATTGCTTTTCTTAAAATAAAAACCTGAGATATTAAGTACTTCCCTCTCTAAATGGAATCATTAGGAAGTTTTAGTGAACAGCTTTTATTTCTTGAGGGATCCTTTAAAGCAGCACAAAAAGGGAGGTACATTTCTGGCCTTCCCACGCATCTCACTCACTTTCCTCGTCCCCGAATTTGTTGGTAGTAAAAACACACAGGGCTTGTGAGGATCCTTATTCCGGGTGACCAAAAAGCTCCAGCATAAAAGCAACTCTAGGGAAGGGCTTAGAGGAGGCTCTGGATGGCACCAGCACTGGGGGAATTCAGTGCTGACGTCAGCCAGAGCCAGGGCAAACCCAAAGCCTTTGCTGGAGACCAAAAGTGCTCTGGCACAGCAAAGCAGGGATTTACTGGGCCGGAGGGAAAACATTCCCTGCAATGAACTCCGGGAGAGCAGCTCCAGCTTCAGGCTGAGGGAGCTCACAGCCATTCCCTGGGGCCACTCAGAGCCTGGAAAAGCTGTGGCTGCCCCATCCCTGGAAGTGTCCAAGGCCAGGCTGGACGGGGCTTGGAGCAGCCTGGGATAGTGGAAAGTGTCCCTGCCCATGGCAGGGGGTGGGACTGGATGTTCTTTAAGGTCCCTTCCAAACCATTCTGGGATTCCATGATCCCTCAGTGCCACCCAGGGAAGATGCTCCATCCTGGCTTGATTTTCCCAGCAGGGTGAAGTGATGGCACTTCACAGCACCCGGGCACATGCCACGGGGATGGGGGCATTGAGCAGTGGGAACCACCTTCCCCTGCACATGATGCATCAGGGACCATTCCTCTTTCCTCTGCTGAAGGCCTGAAGAGGAAGCTTGACCAGGAAAAAAGTTGCTGTGGAGCCCGAGTGGGAATTCTCAGCTGGGGCAGAGCCAAGACAGGAATAGGATAAAGGCACTGGGGAGGCTGCAGCCCTCACTTACCTGCACCATGTTCCTGCCATGAAGCTCATTTTCCCCTTTTCAAGAGCCTTGTGCTGCTATCAAAGTAAAGATCCGCTTCCCAAAACCAGGGATCCACTTCCCTAAGCAGCCCTCCCGGGGACATAAAGCAGCCCTGGGTGCTTGAGGAGCTCTGCTCCTGTTAATCCCTTCTGGGAGCTCATCCCCTGCAGCCCAGGACTCAGCCCAGCTCTGGGATGGCATTTGGGTGCCCAAATGAGTTACCCCACATCACCTGAGCCATCAGAGCCCTTCCCAGCTCTGCTTTCACCTGGTGCCAACCCCCTGCACTCCTGGGCAGCGAAGCTGTGCCTACCAAGGGACAGCAGGCACAGCCACCAGCTCCAGGAGGGAACAGGTTTAACTCCAGCTCAGTAATTAATTCCTGCTAGTGAAGGAGGTTTTCTGTGCAGGGACCGGCTTTGATGTGATTGCTTTGGTTTAATTAAACTCCTGCTTGCACCCAGAGCCCCGAGTGCTCACGGGAACCTGGCTGGGCTCCACTCAGGAGTTACCCGACCAGTTCTCCTGGGCAGAGGAGTTCCTGCAGCCTGGACAAAAGAACTCCTTTAAAGTCATCTGTGGGAGAGCTCAGCGCTGCCCTCAGCATCCCACCTGCCGTGGAGATGTCCCTGGTGCCATTGGGACACCTCTGGACGGGCAGCTGGCACCTCACACCACGGGATGCCCATCCACAGAGCATCCAGCAGTGTGGGTCCTCCTCAAGCAGAGATGAAAGCACCTGATATCTGGGCCTGGGTGGGCATCAGGTGGGCTGGAAGGTGTTCCCCTGGCCCAAACCCTGGCAGAGCTGCCCCAGTGCCCAGCAGTGCTGTAAATCCCACCAGCTCCATCCTGCAGGTCCAGCTCATCCCACAGGGAACAGTCCAATGGGAAACGTGAGTCCTGGCTCTGGAACACTGAGGGTTTGCTCCAGGCCCCCTCCCAGCCCAGCATCCCTCATTAATTAATGCCCCCGGATGTCATTTGCTGTTTCATGGTGGCTGAGTCCGACTGGGGTCATTTACTCTGCTCCAATCAGGTCAGGGAATGTTAATGTGGTTTAATGGGTGTTTTCCTAACCCCCCCTGCCCTCTCCCGTGGCTCCCGGGCAGCCTCATCCCCATGGGATGCGTGGGAAGGCAGTGCCACGGCCCCTGCCTGCGTGCCAGGCCTGCCCCAGCTGCCTGGGGCTGGTGGCCAGGGCGGGGGGGCCACGGCCACCAGAGGGTCCCTGTGCCACCCCCAGTCGTGGCCATGGGAATGGCCCTGTGCCACCTCCAGCCATGAGAAGATCCCTGTGCCACCTCCATCCGTGGGAAAGTCCCTGTGCCATCCCCAGCCACATCCATGGGAAGACCCCTGTGCCACCTTCAGGCACAGCCATGGGAAGGTCCCCGTGCCACCCCCAGCCAGGGCCATGATGCCTCTTTGGTGACACCAAGAGATGCCAGAGCTGGAGCCTCAGGAAAGGAGCCCAGCCTGAGCTCGGTCTCAGACACATTTTTTATTAAATCTTTCACTAGGGGAAGACAAAAAGAATTAAATAAGTGCAATAGTTCCAGAATCCTGCCTGGCACAGCCCTGGGGCCCTGGAGCTGCTCCCGGGAGCTCCACGGGACAGGGAGGCCCCGTCCCCATTGTGGGGTCACTCCTGACAGCATTGAGGGTCCCTGGGCCAAGAGAGACAACCCCAGGGCCAGCAGGACCCAGGGCTCACTGCCACCATCCCACCTCAGCCACTCGGCCCGTCCCAGGTCAGGTCACACCATGGAGCCGCTGTCTCCCACCTTCTGCAAGAGCTGCAACGGGGACAGACCCGGATCAGCGGGAAAATCCACCCCTGCAGCCTCAGGGGGCTGTGGGGTGACTGCAGTGACCTTCCCTGTCTGATCCCAACTGCAGCTGATCCCACCCAAGGGCTGCAGAGCCCGGGGGCACGTCAGCCCTGCTCACCTGGCTCAGCAGGGGGATGTTTGCCAGCGAGCCCAGGAACCCGAAAGCCACCGGGAAAAAGCTCCTGTGTCAACACAAAAGTCTGGGTTGGGCTCCGAGGAGGATCCCTCGGCTCTGCTCTCCCCAGGGGGGGGTCTGGGTGCCCTGGGACCCACCTGAAGAGGGTGATGAAGCCGTAGGCCTCCAGCAGCATCCCCAGGATCGGCCACCGCATGAGGACGACGATCAGCCCCCCGAAAAAGAAGCTGGTGCCCTTCAGCTTGGGCCGCTGGAAGAAGAAGGTGAAGGTCCTCCTGAAGCCGATGATGAAGACCAAGCCAGAGAGGAAGAGGATCTGGGAGGAAGGAGGGAGGGAAGCGGGTCAGAGGAGCTCTTGGCTCCGTCCTGGGCATCGGTGCCGGCTGTGCCCCGGCCCCACAGTACTCACGTTCCCAAAGGCCAGGAGCACGGAGTCAAAGTACAGGAGCATCCCAAAAAGGAGGAAGAAGAGGCCGAAGCCAACCAGCCCCACTCCAATCCCTGTGGAAGACGGGAGGGCTGAGACAAGGGCTCAGTTCCACACCTCAGGTCCCATGTCAGGTTGTGGTCCCTCCTTTCAGCGCCTCCCTGTCCCATTCCCTCCCAGAAAGACACTCTGGGTTTGTCTCCAAAGCTTAGAAACAGCCTTTGCACCTGCCCAGGCCTTGGGGCTGTTGTTGCCCTAGAAACCCCTGAGGGCTTGTGAAAAAAGAATAGAAAAAATAAATGGGAAGAACCATCTCCAGCCTTTTCCTGAGCAGTGGCACGAAGGTGCCAGCGCAGGCAGTGCCAGCGGAGGATGGAGCTGATCTCCAGATGATCCAGGCAACTCCCCAGTGCTGGTCCCCACATCCCCCTTGCCATTACACCCCTCCCTGCCCCAGCCACCCCAGCCAGCAGCTTCCAGCCCTGACATGGAGCTGCCCCGGTCCCACAGGGGTGGGCATCACCCACGGGTCACCCCGTGCCCACTTACGCTGGAAGTCGGTCAGAGACACCATCTTGCCGGTGGCGGGGCTGGGTGAGGCCGGGCGAGGGTGGCCCTGCCTCCACGGTGACCCTTGGAAAAGCCCTTTAGTCCCTGTGGTCCCCACGTCATCCTGCAAATCATTAACAGCCCTGGCAGCGCCCGCCCCGCTGGCACGGCACCTCCCCTGGGGGGCACGTGGTGGCCCGTGGCCACTGGACCCTGCTGGTCCTGCCCTCCCTGGGACGGGATGGACCCTGCTTGGAGAAATCCCTGACAAAGGAATAAAATGGAGAATGGGGCTCCTCCGGGGGGTCCGAGTGGCACCCGGGGGACAGCGCGGTCCCTGTGGCACCCTCCTGATTCCCGGCTCACATCCAGGCTGCTCCACGGGACAGGAGAGCCCTGGGACTGTTCCACGCCCTGCTGTGGGAATAATGGCTCGAGCAGAGCCGCTGGCTTGGGCCAACAGGGGTCCCTTCGTGGCACAGGTCACCCCTGAGCCACCCCCAGGGCCCTCTGTGCCCGCGGCCCTCGGAGCAGCTCCAGCTCTTCCCAAACCAGCCCCTTTTTACCCCTTGGCTTCACACAAAAAGGGGTTTTATTCCTGCCCAAGAAGCAGCCACAGCCCAAAATAAACCCCACTGGGGAAAATGAACCCCGAAAACAGGGAGAGGGAGAAGAAGGTGCCTCTGGAGAGATCCATGGTGAGCCCCTTCCCACTGCCATTCATCCACTATTTCTTCGATCTAATATTAAAACCGAGGTCATCTCTAGACAAAAGACACACAAATGTTGTCATTTCATAGATACTTTTATTTCTCTACCACTAGCAAAATATCCCAGAAAACAATCACCTCCCATCCCACCCTCCCCAATGCATAAATAGATTTCCTCCTGATGCAAATCCTTTCTCGGTTACAAGTCACTGGTATATGAAGTGTTATGAAAAATAATAACCAAAATAAAATTAATTAAGGTTGTTTTTTCCTTTTTTTTTTTTTTTTTTTTTGAAACAAAACAAAAACAAAACAAAAAAAAAACCAACAAACCCACAGCCGGGCTCCAAGGGCAGCCCTGGGGTGCCTTGGGGACACACCTTGGGGACAGCTCAGACACGGTCACTTGTGCCTGATGGCTCTGGGAACACCAGGACAGGAGCACTGGGATGCTCCTCATCCTCCCTGCTCCCTGGAGATGGGAAAAACTGCTGCCTGTGGGTCTGTGTTGGCCACAGCCACCCCAGTGTGTCCCCATGGTGTCCCCACAGCCGGTGTAAGGGGGGTCTGCCCCAGTTACACCAGCTGGGAGCCCACCCTGGTCACCCCCCTGCTGCGCTCAGGGACGGGGAAATAAATGTCATCTCTTAAAACTTACAGTCTCTGTATATTTTATTTTAAATAAATTTGCTTTTAATAAAAGCAGAAAAAATATATATATTTTAAATAGGTCTTTTTTCTTTTTTTTTTTTTTCTTTTTTTTTTTCCCCTCTGATAAATTGGCAAAGAATCTGCTTTTTGTAACTCATGGGCAGGGCTGGTGCCAACACAACCCTGCGGAGAGAGAGCTCGGCACAAACAGTTCCTCCCAGGAAAGAAGAGAAAAAACCAAATATAGATATATATTATAAATGTATAATTTCCATAAAACATATATTAAGGCATGTAATAGCAAAATAAAGGGCCAGCTTTATGAGCTAAGAGGGCTGAGGGAGGCTCAGGAGGGGGATTTAGGGCTCTGGGGGGTTCCTACAGTATTGCTAAGATGGGGTGTATGGGGGATAATGGGGTGCAGGGGTCCGGGGGGGGTCAGGATCAGCCAGTAGGGAAGTAGCTGTGGGATGGACGGTGTCCAGTATCCAGCTCCTGCCTCCATCCTCCCTGCCCACCCCAGCCCCTGGGGCAGCCCTGCCAACCACACCTCCTGCCAGGGATTCTGCTTTTCCGGGCAGAACCTGCTTTTTTTCCCCCCCTCCAGAACGTTAAAGCAAAGGGTAAATTTGCTACAGGAAATCCAAACAGCTGGAAGGGGCTGGAGTGCAACGGGAAGGGTCTGGGGGAGACACAGGGCCAGGCTCTGGGAGGGCTCGGAGGCGACGGTGGGACGGGGGCAGCCGAGGTGATCCCCCTGCTCCTGCCTGGCCCCTTCTCCTTCCTCTTCTCACCACCATCCTCACCCACTGGGGGGGTCCCTGATGACCCCACGGCTTCCCCAGCCCCCTGGCACCCTGCTCCCTGCCCTGCTCCCATCCAATGTCCCCATCCCTGCCCACACCTCCTGCTCCGTGCCAGCGGCGCTCTGGTGCCACAGGCAGCCCTGGTGCCACCCTGACCCCGCACAGGGCACTGCCCCGGGCACCTCCATGTCCCCACAGTCCCACCCCCACCCATGCTGCTCCTGACACAGTTCCTTCTGCCTCCAGCCGAGCCCCAGCACCAGGAGGGACGGGACAGCCCAGGCCAGGCGGGTGCAAAAAGCAGGGTCAGGGCTCAGGGAGGGGAAGAGGCACCCGAGGAGCTCAGATGGACCATCCAAGCCTGGTGGAAGGTGGAAGCACCATCCGTGGTGGGGACTGGCTGGTCTCCACCCAGAGAGCCCCTTCACAGACCTTTGGGAGGCGTCCCAGGAGTCCAAACGCTCCCCAGGGATGCCCTGGCAGGGAGGTGCCCGCTGTGCCAGTGGCCGCTGTCACGGATGTCCCTGCCCGGCTGCCTGCGCGGGCCTGGCGCCCAGGACACGGCGGATCTATCCCTGTGTCCACTGCCAGCCCGAGGGCTCCTCGGGGACCACCTCCAGCACCTCCACGTCTCCTCAGGCCGGGGCAGAGCAGCCGGTGCCGTCGGCACCGCATCCCCCCAGGCGGCCGTGCTGGGTGGTCTCGCCGTTGGAGGGAGGGAAGGGGGTCCAGGAGAACCAAAAACGATGGCGAGAGGTTCGGTGTCGTGTCGGGGGGGCTAAAACGTGGCCCCGTGGAACTTGATGGCGCCGGCAGCAGCCAGGGCTTGAGCTGGAGGGGCGGGAGAGCGGGGCTGAGTGGGGCGGTGGGTGGTGGTGAGGCAGCCCCCGTGCCCACCCCGCAGCCCCCGTGCCCACCCCGCAGCCCCCTCCCTGCCCTGCGCAGGAAAACCTGGCACAGATTTGGCTCTATGCCCCTGGTTCCCCTGGGGGAACATCCACCCGAGTAGGGGACACTGTGTCCCCCCCAGTTTGCAGCCACCAGGCAGGTGAATCCCAGAGACCCCCACCCTTTCCTCCCTGCACGGCCCCCCTGCCCACGGCAGCCTGCTGAGCCCCCCGTGCCCACGCTGGGCTGACCCCCAGTGCCGTGGGGGACGCTCGTGTTGGTCCATGGAGGAGACGGGGCTGACGTGGCTCAGGGAATGTTGGTTAGCTGGAGCAAGCAGCGACGGCCGGGCACGGGGCACAGAAGGGGCACCCCGGCCGGGCCCCCCGGGCTGGAGAGGGGCTATGGTAGGAGAGAAGAGGTGCTTACGGTCACGGCTCACACACGCATTAAGTGGCTGCTGTCGGCGCCCCGGGGTTCGGCCGAGAGGGGGTTGGTCGGAGGAGCCGGGGAGGCTGGGGAGGTGGGAGGGCTGGGGGTAGCGCACTGAGCTGGAAACAGAAACGGGAGAAGGGCGTGAGGAACACGGGCTGCGGCAGCGGGGGGGGCACCCAGCCGGGGGTTAGCGGGGAGGAAAGGGACGGGGGGGAAAGGAAGGGAGAAGGAAGGCAGGCAGGCAGGCAGGGGGGAAGCAAGCGCGGGCAGGACAAACAGCCACAGCGGCGCCCGCTCCCGGCGCGCACACGTGAGCTCCCTGCAGGGCTCCTCATGGACACGGCGCGGCGTGACACCACCATCACCCAGGGACAGCACGGCACCGTGCTGACCTGGGCATGGAGTGACACCACCATCACCCAGGGACAGCACGGCACCGTGCTGACCTGGGCATGGAGTGACACCACCATCACCCAGGGACAGCATGGCACCGTGCTGACCTGGGCATGGAGTGACACCACCATCACCCAGGGACAGCACGGCACCGTGCTGACCTGGGCATGGAGTGACACCACCATCACCCAGGGACAGCACGGCACCGTGCTGACCTGGGTATGGAGTGACAGCACAGTCCCCCAGGCATGAGGTGCCACCCCAGTCCCCCAGGCATGGGGTGCCACCACTATCCCCCGGGCACAGGGTGCCACCATGCTCGCTCAGCCAAGGCGTGTCACCTCATGCCCACCCAGCCAGGCACTCCCACCCCTGCAGATGCTCCCAGCAAGGTGCTGGAAGCTGTGCCCCGCTGGAATAGCTGCTCCATCCCAGGATCTCAGGGGAAGGCAGCCCCAGGCATGGCGGGCAGGGCCCGGGAGGTGTTGGCTCTCCCACTGCCCAGGGATGCCCTGCCCAGCATTGACACAGTACTGACCCCTCTCCTGCCCATCCTGACTCCTTGCTCTCGCTGCCAAACCAACACCCGACGTGCCCAACCCGCCCTGCCCTCAGCCCTCCTGCCCCTCACCCGAGAGCATGCGGCCGCGGCGTGAGGCCTCGGCGGCCAGAGCGCACGAGATCTCGATCCTCTTCTCCTGCTCCTGCAGCTGTGTCTCGGGGTCCTGGGGGGTGTCCACCTCCCCCTCGCCCAGGGGGATCACGTTCTGCAGGCTGTGTGGAGCACCCAGTGTCAGTGCCCATGCCAGGCCCCTCGGGATGGCCGGGGAAGGGTTCACCCCCCCGGGATGGCTGGCATGGGCACCGCAGCCCCACCTGGATTTGGCAATGAGGGTCTTGATCCTTTCCACCTTCTTCTGCTTCTCCTTCATCTCCTCGGGGCTGAGGGGTGATTCAGGCTCCAGCTCAACGTACCGCTCAGGGATGAGGACTTTGTCAGGCGTGGAGAGCTGGGGGCAGTGGAAAGGGGTGAGTCCTGTGCTGGGCATGGGGGACCCGTCCCCCTCCAGCACCACCTGCCCCACTCACCCCAACACCCGCCTGGGCAATGGCAGCCCCTGGTTAGTGGCTCCAGGATGGAT